TGCCCTTCCTCTGACCCCATTCTGCTGGCAGAGGATGTGTAGAATCTTGTATGTGTAAAATCTCTTAGAATTTCCAAGACAAGTCTCAGGTCTCTTAGGCTGGGAGCTAGAGAGGATAGTGGAATAGTATCATAGTGCTTAGGGTTGGAAGGGACCTAAACAGATCATCAGTTCCGACCCCCTGCCCCAGGCAGGAACAGGTGCTGGAGTCATATCACCCCAGCCAAATATCTGTCCAGCCTCTTCTTGAAGACCCCCAAGGTAGGAGAGAGTACCACCTCACTTGCAGCCCATTCCAGAGCCTGGGAGCCCTAGCTGTCAAGTAAAAACAGGACCTTCATGGATTCTGAATGGATGTATGTAGGAGTCCAGGATACTCTGAATGCTGGGACCACTACATTCCTGTTTAGTGCTTAAGACTCCATTTTCCTCACATATCTATTTGACACCTGCTAGTCATTTCGCCAGGGACAGGAACAGGAATTACACATAAATCAGTAAGTGACCAGAAACCAGTTCAAATCTGTAACACAACAGAAGTTCAGTGCACATAAACTGCTTTCAAAATGGCCCAAACCAATTTAAGATAACCCTGGATGGATGTAATATCAGACTCAACTGATTTAAGTTAAATTGGTTTACTGAACTTCTGTCCCAGATCCCCTCACAATTCAAGTTAACTCACAGTTCCCCAGAATCCCAGGATGCTTTGCATGTCCACTACAACCCCCAACCTGCCCCCCAGCATGGGCAGGCTAGCCTTGGCTGAAGCTGTCTGCACCAACAGAACAGGGAGGCATGCTCTAGTGCCCCCTCCCTCTCCACCCAGCTTCTAGCCTGAGCCCGAGCAGGTATGCAGCTGCATTTCTGGAATCAAAAAGTGAATGACTGTTCAGTTGCTTATTGGTTCAATCTATGCACCTTAGACTAACCTGCAAAGGTTGAATCTATTCAACCTCGGGCATTTTGACTGCTTGTACTTAGGTCTAAAGGCTGCTCTTTTGCTAAAACGTAGGCGAGGCGATTTAAATCCTTGGTGCCTTAAGTTATGAGCTCTTGGGAGCAGAATCTGTTCTCAGTTAGGGCTCAGGAAGCTACCAGCATGCTGGGGGCATGGCTGTAAACAAGAGATATAAGAAGGTCATTGGAAAAAATTCCTGTTCTGAGAAGAAAGGAATTGGATTTACTTCACTCAGGATTTTTAGCTGATATTGTCTTGTTCCTGCTTAGAAGGCCTACTATGTTCCAGCAGCCCTAGCATTTTTTCTCATGGACACGGCAAGCAAATCCACAAAGAATCTTAGAGAAAGAAATCCTGTAACTGCCTGCAACTTGACCAATTGTTCCCACGACCTTCTTGGGATAAGCATTTGCTTTGAATGGAAAGAACCCTACCTGAGCCCACTCAGTGCTGCAGAACATAGGCGGACTACTGGTTATGAACAGTCAGGAAAATTTATGAAGTACAGTTGTCACTTCGCTGAGAGGGAAAGCTTCCACATCAAGGCACCATCTTTCAAAGTACTTGGTGAAAGGCACATGCTTAAGGAATTGTCAAAAGAAATACAGGGTGGGGAAGATGTAGTATCTGAAGTGCTCCAAAGCCAACTCCAAAGGAAACCTTGGTCCCACTTGGACTTGGCACCGCCTGGTCGTGGTGCATCCTGCTTTCCCCTGGGTATGCAGCAGGGCTGGGGCGGCTCCATGGCTGGACTGCCTTTCTAGACAGCCCGGGTGGTGGTGGCTCCTTCCGGCTGTTGCCGCTACTGGCTCTAGCCCTACAGTAGTGGTGGGGACCAGCACAGGTGCAGACCTGACCCCACGCACCTCACACCAGCTCTGGGCGCGCCCACCTAGGCTCAGCAGCGGCAGCATGGGAAAGAAACTGCTGCTCAGCGTGAGCAGGGAAAGGGGCTCTGCGCAGCCCCTTCCCCTGGTGCACCTGCCTAGAGCCTGTGTGGAGCTGCCCTGCATCTATGCCATATCACCACTGCATCTGGGCTGTTCAGTGAGGCAGCGAGGGCAGCACAGAACAGACACAGGGCAGCCCTGCGGGGGCTGTAGGCAGCTACACCAGGAAGTACTGGCAGCAGGAGCAGCAGTTTCTCTCCTGTGCCATCTCTGCTGAGCCAGGGCCCCAGTGCCTGCTCTGAGCTTGCTTCTCTGGGCTGAGCAGCAGGTCAGTGGCGGCAGCAGCTGGAAGGAGCTGCCCCAACCCCGCTACATAACCAGGGGTGGCAGGATGCACCACAGGCAGGCTGTGCAGAGCAGGCATGCAGCATGCTGAGGCTGTATGTTGTTAACAGTTGGTGGTGGACAGGTGCTGCAGGGCTGGCTCTGGCCTGTTGCAGGATGGGTGCTGACTGGCTCAGGGGGCACATGCACACCCCACCACACCCAGAAACCCTACAATCACACCTTCCCCCACACACAATCACACATCCCACAAACATCGCACCCAGCCACAGCCCTCACACACACTTGTGCACCTCTGGGGGGAGCACTGTTCACTGCTACATGTACACACTGCACACATGCAGCCCCCGCAGCCACCCTCCCCCTCCACACAGCCCCCCACAAACCTCATACCCCCACACCTCCCACAATATACAAGAGTAAGACTTCATTTTGAGCTATTATGGAATCACTTCTATATATACAGCACAAACACACACATCAGGACAAATACATATATTCAAAATAAAATTAAAATGTTATTAAAGATGTTTGATTTTTAGTATATAATTTGGGGGGGGGGTTCATTCCAAGATGGCAAGCCCCCTTCCCCAAAGGAGTACTTCCAGGGGCAAGGAGAGGGACTTCTGGTGGCAAAGGTCAGAGATTAGGGGTGGGATTTCCAGTCCCAAGATGGCAATTGGGGGTGGGGTGCTTGTTAAGGGGCAGGGCCACCCTTGCAGCCCTCAACAGCTCACCAAAACTCATTAAGTGGCCCTCCAGCTGAACTAATTGCCCACCCCCATCTAGTTGAAACTTCCTGTTATATATATATGTGTGCAACATGGAACACAACAGCATTCTAGTGCTCTCTTCTCCATTCACCCAAGGGATGGGGAGTGGGGCAGGGATAGTGAGCACTCTTTTATTCACTGTGCCTCTGCTGCCGGGGAGTATCACCTGCCAGAACCCTGGAACTGGGAGACTGGAAGCCCCATGTCCCTGTTCTCCAGTCCCCAAACCCCACGTACCTGTGTCTGGTCTGATTCTGGCAGGAAGACATGGGATCTCCTGGTTCCATGGGGGGTGGCGGCGCTGGGCCTTGGGTCGCCCAAGTCCGAGGGGCAGAATGCTCCAGGAAAGCAGAAGCAGAACTGACAAAACATTGATATTATTTCTGTCTCTCTCCCAATGGAGGGGAGAACAGCTACAGCTACAGTCCTGGAAGACTGACGGCTGCAGAGCCACAGGTTGCTGAAGCCCTCTATCATGTCCTTTGGCTGCAGAACAAGCAGCTACTTACAGCCGGAGAATTTTTAAAGCCCTTCAGATTGGTTGGGGGCGGGGGGGACATGGCAGGGGGCTGTGTAGCTGCAATTTGCAATGCTTCAACTATTGAATTTGTCCCCATCCATAAGCTGTCATCTCTGACATACCTGTTGCAGACTAGCCAGGATAAATACTATGGGACAGCAAGATGACAGGGACAGGAGACAAGCCAAAAGCCGGGAGGTTTTTTTTTTGGGGGGGGGGGCCTGGACTTGGATGTGGTTGTGCAACGTTGCCAAGGGCTAGTAGATAGTATACCACAGGAACACAACTGCTCGTCACACAGCAAACAAACTGGAAAGGAAACATTAGGAAAATCCTGGCTTTTGTGCTGACTCAGGTTTTGTACCCATCCATCAGTTTGGACACAAGCTGTATTGAGTAAAATTTGTCCATGCTCCCTCTGCCAGGAAGAATCTTGAATTGGCACCCAAAAATTTAATCAGGAAGAGTATTTGCTTCAGCTGAAATAAAACTTGTGATGCTGTTCTTTACTGCCTCATCTTCATGGCTACTACCTCAGTCAATGATCCTCAAGTGATGGGAACTCCCTATCACCAAACCAAACCAAACCAAACCATGTTTCTAAAGACAAGACATTTACATAGTGTTTTCAATCTCCCTTTTAATCAAATGCCCCCTGAAAAACCCCAGCACATGTGCATATAAATAGTGCTGACCACACTCCCAGATTCACCAAGGTGTTTGGATTCAATTTTTTGATACACTGGGAGCAGTTGGTACTGCAGCTGCCCAACCCCCACCCCCTTCAACCTTTTTTTCCCCGGTAAGCTCTGCTCTCATACCTTCCAACTCTCCCCCAGTTCCTGAACCTTGTTCAGTGCCCCTCAACATCCCATCAGATTCATCTCTCAGCCTTTAAATCTGCCTTTGCACAGGTTGTTAGGGATGTGCTGAAATGCGAGTAATTTATCCCCCATGATACATCTGCTATTTTAAGAGCGTTTCAAACTAATACGCTGATCTGTGCACAAACATAGCCAGTTGGACCCCCACCCGCCATAGTTAATGAACTGAGTCTACAATTAAATCATGTAGGCTTGTTCGAGTATCTATGTAAATCATCCCCCAAATATAGATGTTAAATCTAAGAAATCTGCATTCCTGGCAGCCTGATCTTTTATACATGCAGCATGCTGCCCATAGTATACACTGGGTCCATAAACATTTAATAGCAGAACTCAAAACTGGATATTTTCCACAGGCAAAATGTAGTCTCAAGTGGAAATTAGTGCAGGTGGTAATCTACTTGTACAACAACATGTTAAAAAATGTTTATTTTACATTATATACACTAGGGAACACACTCAAAAGCATTACCAGTCACAACAATAATGCAGACCATAAACCACTTTAGTTTTGTTCTTAGTGTGTATTATCACAATAAAATATAAAGAACATATACAAAAAAGAGCCAAATATGTGCATTTTGCTAAAACTTGGCAATTACATACTCCATTGGAAAATATCAATCAAAAATAGTTTTGATCAAAACTAAGTTCCTGTGATGTGTAGCAACGGTTATATTGTTTGTATGAGGTAGTAACTAAATGATTTTGGCCATGTGTTAACGTCCTAAAATCAAGAAAAGTGTGAAAATGGTTATAAGGCCAAAAAAAGTCAACATGTAACAAGATCTTCAAACCATTTCCACAATGTGGAATGTTACAGTTCTTCATCATGATATGAAAATGTTTACTGAAGTCTCTGAAGAATGCTAATTTTATCACTGTATATACTAATAATTCATACAACTATTGGAGTGTTACAGCAAGGTACCACTATTCTGGGACTCATACCCATTCCAGAAGGTATTGGTTTTCAAGCATAGAGAAGTAATTTTAAGATAATTTTACTTAAATAGAAAAATACAGGTGTTTAATTGGTTTGTTTCACAAAGAAAACTACCCAAATAAACTAAAAAAGGTACTTAGAAACCCAAGTCATATCCACAAAGTCACAGCTTACCTTTGTGACTAAATACATCACAGATCAATACTTTGTGCAAACATGAAGACCAGTGTACTTGCATAAAAATTAACAAGATTGTAATCCATTTACAGCCTTGGCTACAATGTCTAAAACTTAAGATTTATTTGTATTAGTAAATTACATATAATAAAATACAATAGTGTTATTAAATGCATTATGCTCATTGCTAGCATCCCATTTTATAATAACCACACAAGAAGTCCTTAAAATAGTACCCCAACTGTATTTTTGCAGCCTTGGCAGCCTTTACATCTGTACAGGTAAGACACTTGTACGTAAGAGAAGGACCATTATCTACATAAAGTCAGTGTAGGTCTTCATCAATGTTTCACTGAAAAATACCGCATATGTACAAAGATTACATAACAGTGAATCAAGCACTTCTGTGGTATAATATGCTAAGTGTGTCCATACTACTTCAACAAAATTCTCACCTTTCTCTCATGCCATAATAAATTACAAAGTAACTGAAGTCAGGTTACTGCAGCTCATGTGCAATTTCAGTCCTCCATTATGGTTGCAGCAGTAGTGTTTTCTTCTCACAGTCATCTGTCATGCCTGATTCTCAGTAACTGTTTTCATGACCTGCCAGGATGTATAAATTGCTGTTGGCTGTTGGATTATCTGTTGGCCTACTTTCCAATACCACAACCCTAAAAATAAAGAGGTTAAATAAATTAACACAAAAATACATCATGAAATGCCCCAATTGTAATTTAGAGTCAGAGTCACTGCCGAGTGCAAAGTTTCCTTCCTTTCTCACAGGGCTCATCTGTAAACCTGTCCCTCACCTATCATTCTACTTCACTTCTGCTATAGGGTTTATTCATGCTTCATCCCCTATTGCCTGAACTACTGCACTTTCCTCTATGGCTTCTCCAATTTCCCATGCTGTTTACTTTCTAAGAACCACTTCCTCTATGGAGGAATATATCAATTATTTGTAAATCACTTAACTTCCATACAACATGCCTACTTAACACGGTGCAGGAACAGAATGGGGACACAGAGAGCAAGACAGAGAGAACAGACTAGACTGTCAAAGAAGCTTCTTGAGTACTAGGCCACCAACCTATCATTAGCTGAAAAAAGATGTCAAATCACTCATCAGTGGATCCAATAAATTGTTGCTCAATGTATTAGTTGGGAAGGGCTAGATGGGCAATTTGCAAACCCATTTTAATATGGACACATACAAAGGTCAAGGAACTTGCTACACCTTACATACAGAACAGGAGACCATTTCCTGGAGAGGACTTGGGGTTACTGATGGCAACCAAGTCACATGAGTCCCTGGTACCCATTGATGTGTAAAAGGGAAGATACTATAACTGAATGTACACATGACAACATGCATTCTGAGTAGAGAAGCTGATGTTGCCTCTGAATATGGCACTAGTAAAAACATGAATGGCATTACTGTGCATCTAAGTCTGGTATCCACACTTTATATGCTGGAGCAGGCCCAGACTGATTTGTGATCCAGAAGAGACCCTGACGAGGCATAAAAGGGTGGTATTCTAGTTTTTTATGGATGCTTACTGTAACAGGGCACCCAAAGACATTTTTGAATACCCCATTCTAAGAGCAGTACGCCCTGCTCTTGCCCACCATGACTTGATGTTAATAAATATGTATAGTGCGAAAGGCTACCCTGGTCTTATTATATGGACCACCTTAATTGTGGCCGTGGCCTTATGGGCCAATCACACAGCTCTGTACCTCCCCTACACCATGCCTCATAGATGGCATCATTACAGATGTTCTCCTTACTGCCGATACAGCCTCTGGCTGGGCCTTCAGACCCCTCAGCTTCTCCTAGCACCACATGCAACAACTGTATGGTAATATGTAGTACTACTGATGTAGCACATCAAAGCTGTCTTAGGACTTGTCATATGCATCTTTAAAAAAAGTTACTATACGTGGGAATCAGCAACAAAGAATATTTGCAAAAGATTTGAATGAGGAACAGATAGATAGTGGCTTGCTAAGTAAGATTCAAGAACCATTAGGTATACAGAAACAGAGAAGGAAGTGAGGCAAATGGGGTGAAGAGGCTGGCATCACTGGCAAAGCTGGGGTGGGGGGGATGTTAACATGTTAAGAGACAATGTTAGAGACATATGTTGGGAACAGACTGTGTAGGGTCTTGAAGACAAGTGCAGATTCCAAGCTGGGGGATGGCAGTGGAATAATTCAGACTGGGGTGTTACTTATGGGCAAGAAATGCCACTAGAAGCCACATCTGAATGAAATGAAGGAATGTAATTACTGTCAGGATGTTGTATTGCAGCATCCATTTGTTCCAGAATTCATCCTGAGAGAATAGTACTTCATTATCTTTTTAAATTTCAACATTTTTCTAGTCATTACACTTATGAAGATAATTTAAAAAAAATATGAACTTCATGTAACCAGCAAAGCTACACCTGCAGAAGGCTCTACGGACTATTCCAAACACCTTGACTGAATCCCAATGTCGTTCTATCAACGGACAATAAGGACTAAATCCTGTTTCATCTTTACACATTTAAGAAGCACTTACGTAGCCACAGAAACACAACACTTGGCACTTACAATAAGAGTGGAGTCTCCTTGCACTTGCATAGCTATGGTAGTTTTGTGCTTTCCTTTTGAGCATGCTCAGATGGCTGCACTATAGACATACCAGTTCTTGGGCAGAAGAAAATTGCCTGGGAATGTGTACAAGGCCAGGTAAGCCCTGAGCCTTTAGTCACAGACAAAACACAAATGATGAGTGTTTGAAACAGGAGGAGGACAACTACCATCCTGCCTTTTAGCTCAACAGTGTAATAATGGTGGTTAGTGCACTGAGAGATTCAGGTTCTAGGCCTCCAACACCTAGAGAGGGCTTCAGTGTGCATCTCCCATTTCCCAGCAAAGTCTCAAACCATCAAGCCATGTGTTGGATATTGCTCAGAGGACTGATTCTCAACCACAGTACCAAGGCACCCTGAGGTGCCGTCAGATCCTTTGAAGGATACCAAGATGTGTGAAGAGATAAACAGATAAGGACAGGGTCAGTCTTGTCCCTTTCTGAATAATCTCCCACACCCACTACTTAGCCCACTGTAATACATAAATTAGCTTTTGAAATTGGGTGCCACCCATTTCACAAAAATTATGGAGGAGTGCCTCAAATCCAAGGAGGGGTGCCTTGAGTCTATAAAGGTTAAGAAGTACTGGCTCAGAGCATATTCAGCCCTCCCCTTAAAGTGTTCCCCCCCGAACAGCCAGGAGAAGATTAAGCTAGAGGTCTCAGTGGGATAGATGCTGCTTTCAACAGATATTCCTTAAAATACAAAATATACTCCTTTCACAGCCTCTAGAAAACTGCAGAAGTCTAAAACAAAGAAAATAAGAGGCTGAGGATCCCTGGGACATGCCTGAACTCTGCAGTTATTGCTGGGAGATCTGGAAGATTCTGACTGCCTCTGAGGCTCAAACTCCTCCTGGGCTGTGCTGTATATGCTGAAAACATAGCAGGATAATCCCCTTTTTGAAAAGTGTCAATATTATAAATTTTAGCACTTCTGATTAAAGATGCAATTCCCAGTCATCTAAGAGTGTAACAATCGAAAGCAAATATGCATGGTTTAAAAACATGTTACAACCCAAAAGGAAAAAAGAGTTTTGGAGGCACGCCTGCTGGTGAATATGAACCAGTAACTGCCTGTTAATGCACAAATGATATTTTTATTCTTCCTTTACAAAAAAAAACAACAACAACACAGGGAACAAACTGAAGGAGAGGCCTAACAGGGAAAACCAGAGAGACAGTAAAAAAGCTTATGAAGGGGGTGAAGAACTGGTTGAGAAAGTGCTCTTAAGAATCAAGAGGAAGAGACAACGTTGTACTCTTTTACTTTAATACACCATGGTGGGTATTCTTCTTACCTGTCAGATCCAAGTAGCCTGAATATCCTTGTGTTGTCAGAAATTTCCTGTGTGATCTATTTAATAAAAAATATATAAAAAGATTCATGTAGCTTGTAAAGCTATTTTTAATTAACTTCCCAGAATGTAATGCATCTAGAAAAGGAATGAATGATCAATGGAAATTGCAGATTAGGTTAAATGAGGACATTTTAATACTGTAATTTTAAATGAGTAAAGTGAGTTTTCTAAAACATCCTGCTGTATTATGCAAAATCCTATTTTAAGCAACTACAGTAGTTGCTGTGGAGACTGCTTTAAAAGTGGACAATCCTCTTAGCTATTAGTCATAATGTCAAGCATGCTCTTTTGGAGTCTAAAGCTTGGTATGGATAGTCAGATGCACTGGAGGGACCAGAGCCATGGATAAAGGGCCTTGTTGAAAGCCCACTGAGGTCAGTGTAGGTCTTGCATTGATTTCAGCAAACTCTGGATAAAGTTCACTTTGCTGCAATCAACAGTAACACAACCAAGAGGAGCAGCAGAGACCACAGAAAGAAAAAATGGAAAAAGTAAAGCAGAAGTATGATTAAACATAAGCATACTGCTATTCTAACAAATGAATTATAAAAATACAATTAAATATTTCAAATATATGATTATGGTGAACAGATGATTTAACTTTTTAATACATTTGCTTCAAAGTCTTCAGTGCTTTAACAAATTTAAAACAGTTGTTTCTTTCAGAGAAACTGTAATATAGTAATAAGCTTTTATTTAGGTGAACAGCAAGTGCTGGCATCAGCTGAAAATTCAAAATATATTCCAAAGTTTACCACCGATTATTATTCAGCCTACTGACATGATTTACACACACATTCAGCTGGCCCTTATCCCTGTAGTCTAGGGCTCTGCGAAATGGCTGTTTCGTTTTGGATTTAGCATTTCGGAGAGAAAGTGATTCGTTTCGGTGTTTCGGATCAGTGTCCTGTTTCAATTCGGCTGAATCTGTTTCGGAGTCTCAATGCTGCTTGGTGTTTTGGCCATAGGCATTTTAATGATTCCCCATTATAGCCTATAACTTTGTCATTTCTTGCCTGATTCGGATTAAAATTGCAGGGATGGTAGCCCATTCTGAGGGCATGAAGCCTCCCAAGTTTCAAGGAGATGGGTACAGGGAATTCTGGGAAACTGCTTCAAAATTTTCAAAGCAAAACTAGTATCACTCGCTGGCAGCAGCAGCATGCTGTCATCCCGCATGCAGATCTGGGGGCTGCATCCCTTGGGAAGAGTCTGGCACAGTTCTGCAGCCCTCTCAGGAGGCATGGGCCCCTGGATCTGTGCGTGCGGTTTCAGCAGATTGCTGCTGCAGGCTGGGGCCAGCGGCAGCTGCTTGGTGCAGCTTGCACTGAGTGCTAGGAAGACTGCAGCGCTACTGCTAGCAGGAGCCTGCTGAAACCCCGCACACAGATTGGGGGCCTGTACCCCCTGGGAAGAGCTGGGGAAATGATCAGAGAGCTAGGGGATTGTACCAGGAGCTAGATGTCAATATCAGAGCAGTTCCTCTTCCCTCAACCTTAGTCTTTGTTTCCCTGCAAACCCATCTCCGAAACTCAGAGCCTTCCAATTCATTTCAGAGCTGCTTTGGAGCCTTCCATTTTGATTCGGATTTGATGTTTTGGGTGCCAAAACATCCCAAAACACGTCCAAAATGAAAAGGCTGCCAAAATTTCACACAGCCTGACTGCAGCCCGAGATCACTTTCCAAGTTTCTGGGAACAGAAACAGCTCATCCTTCTTATCTTTCCTGTTTCTTAAGCGTGGGAAGTTTGAAAGCTTTAGAGCAGGGGTGCTCAGCCACTAGATCTGGCCTGCAGGGCCCCCCGTGGGTCAGGAAATTTGGCGACAGGGGAGCGGTAGTCATTAATAGTCTGCCAAATTCCCAAATGCCAAGCCTCTTGCAACTGGCTGGGGCCATGTCAGGCCAGGCTGTGACCTCCTCCCCTGTGGGGCTGGACCATACCACCCCCACTTGTGGATCAGGGCTAGGCCAGGCCACACATCACTCTTCTCCAGGGCTTGCCTATATCCCTCCCCCCCCATGGGACAGGACTGAGGCCAAGCCATGCCCCCTTCCTTCCCTGCAGGGTAGGGTTGGGACCTGACCAAGCCCTCTCCTCCCCAGGGAGGAGTCACATCCCCTTCCCTCTCCATGGGGCTGGGTCAAGCTTCTTTCCCCTGTGGGGCTGCACTGGGGATATCCTGCCCCCTGTGCCCCTCCATGTGATCAGATGGAGCTCCAGATGCCAGATCAAGAACACTGGCAGGATCTGGCCTGCAGATGGACTAAGCACTGGCAATCTAATCCACCAAGCAAAAAAGTTGAGCACCACTGCTTTAGGGGGGTCAGCTTTCTCGCAAGTAAGACGCAGTGAGAAAAATCTAATATAAAGCAGTAAGCTCTGCATTTGATTCTTTTTCTGAAAGCCATTTCTATGGAGTCAGTTTCATACAACCTGGACCCAGCTCCTGTAGAAGTTGCCTCCCGAACTTACATGTCTCCCCTTTGGCTCACCAGTTTTACTGCTCCAGAGGTGATTTTTCAAGCCCCTAAAACCAATGCCATTCTGGGATCTGAAGGTCAGCTCAAGCCACCCAAAATGTTTATAAGCAAGAAGATGGGCTGCTGTTTTTATCAATTAGATCAGTGCTAGGAATAATCAACAAACCCTAGACATACACTGTTATATCACCTGAAGGTCATGAATGTGTGGATCATTGTGGTTAAGTTCTGTGTTCAATAGTACTAAGAGCAGTCATTTGCCCAGTGAGTACCTAAAATGTGATGTAGCTGCACAGGAGGTGAATGCAGTTTTGGGATGCATCAATAGAACCATTAGGTAAAAGACTACATGAGGTGATAGTGCCTCTACTCGGCACTTGTTAGGCCTTATCTGGAGTAGTGAGTGCAATTTTGGGCTCCACATTTTAAAAAGGACGTGGAGAAGTTAGAGAGGGTCCAGAGATGGGTGACAAATGATGAAGGGCTTGGAAGGCATGTTGTTTGAGGAGAAGATGAAGGAGCCAGGCAGGTTCAGCTTGTGGAAAAGATGCTTAAGTGGGGACACGATAGCAGTTTTCAAATACCTGAAGGCCTGCCATAGAGAGGGAAACCATCTTTTCTCTCTTGCTGCAGAGAATAGGACCAATGGCTTGAAGTTGCAGCAAAGTAGGTTTAAATTGGATAGCAGGAAAAACTTCTTCACTGTCACAACAGTGAGGCAGTCGAACAGACTGTCTAGGGAAGTTGCGGACTCTCCATCACTGAAGTGTTCAGGTGGAGACCGGACAGGAATTTATCAGGGATAATCTAGGCATAACTATGCCTACTATATTCTACTATGGGCATTTTTTTTTCATTCTTCTAAGCTTTGCTGGTTGCCACATAAGGATGAGAGGGAACTTTTCCCCCTCCTGCTGCTACATTTTCCTGAGACACTTCACGTTGGCTGCAGCCAAGGTGGGGATTTCAACTGAGGTATGCCAAATGCTCTTGTTGGGACATCAATCCAGAGGTTCCTGGGTAGAGGATGCTCACGGTCTTACTGTCATATTTAGGGTTAGGAAGGAATTTTACCCCATGGTCAGATTGGTATGAACTGTGGGAAGGGGTTTGCCTTCCTCTGTAGCAGGGGGCATGGCCCTCTTCCTGGGATCTCTCAAGCATATTTTAACCACTTTTGCAGCAGCAGAATGTTGGCTGCTATGGTCCCCCTGCTTTACCTGTGGTAGAGTAGGGTGTTATGTTTTGTGTTGTATCTGGGTTGACTCTAGTTTTGCTAGGAGGTTAGACAATAGATCTGTATAGGATGGTTTGAACAGGGGTGATCCTGCCTCTGGCAGGGGGTTGGACTAGATGACCTCTAAAGGTCCCTTCCGGCCGTAGTTCTCTGACACTGATGTTCGCTGCAAATTCCATGTGAAATAATGCAGCAGTGTAACGAAATGGAAGACACAAGTTTGATGCATCGTGAGTACATGAACATGACTAATTTTATTTTAAAATAGCTTGCTCAATTCCTCAACTGAGACAAAGATGTAATAATGATTTGATATGAGTCTGAATTTGCTAATACAATGCTACGGTCAAATGCACAAGCACTCTCTTGCTGCAAAATCCCCAAAAGTGGCATCAAAGAGTAACTGGCCAGGGCTACTGAAATCGGTCTTTAAAAATAGCTATTCAGATGACTTTGGCTAAATGCTTCCCATTTTCCAATGTGGCCTTTAGATCCTTGGAACAGAAAAAAACATCAATTGTATCAGTTTAACATTATATCTTGAGAATGCAAATCTAATTCTTTTTGTTGATCACACTGATTAAACAAATGCTTAAAACAGCAATGAATTTTCAGTTTCTTAGCATTAACACAGTGCTACATAAACTTTTTATAAATCAAAGAAACAGTATTCAGTGTACTCCTACACCTGTTGCAGTTTACTTTCATTATAACTGGAGTAAGGGGCAACAGACAGTAGCACGCGCATTTGCTGCTTACCTCATTTGACCTAAAACTCCTTCCTTGCATGCCATGCTTCCAGAAAGCTAACACACTGTCTTGTAGACAGACTGAAAGGAAAAGAGTACTTGAATGAATTTTAATACACACCCAAATTTATTCTTTCAAGGCAAAAAATATATTCCTCATCTGGGAATTTTGTCTCCTGTACACATTTTATAATCAACTCAGTTCTCTTAAAGAAGACCCCAAAATGTTTCAATGGAATCACTTAACCCACCCCAAGCTGGTCAGAAATGTATAGAGCTACACAGAGTACTGTAACTACTGTTGAAGTAAAGCTGCCTCTACAGAGGAAACTCAAAAGCCATTGCACACCAGCAGCATAGTACTTCTACTGAGGGAAGGAGAAATCTAAATATCAAGGTCCTTGTTGCACGTTAATTTTAGGCAACTCCTGAAGCTCTTAATCCCCAGATTGTCCACATATGAATACCTGAAACTACTTGTAAGCACACTCAAGCAGGTTAAAGTTACACTGCTCCAGGGCAGTCTCCACCTCCTGCTCCATTTGTCTATTTCTGATTGGTGCTACCTAGCTTGTGTTCCATTAATTCTGACCACTCCCCACAGATGAGCCACCTGAACTGCAGTCCTCCAGAATCCCAGAATGCAGTCCACACCCCCGCCTTCCTGTTCTGTGTGGACAAACTCTCCAACCCTTGAACTCTACTGGCCAGGGGGCAGTTCTGGCAACAAGCCAACTCCCTGCTCCCAGGGGTATGGCCTTCCCACCCCCATGCGAGTAACCACATGCAAACAGCCTGCAGAGCACAAGCCAGCTAGCCAGGCTGCAGGGTATGGATGCATCTGGGAATGCGGAGGAAAAAGACAGTGGGCTTGATTGGGTCCCCAAGGGCTGTGGTTTCCTTCCTGGGACAGGGGCAGTAGCTCCCCCAAAGACACCTTCCCTCATCCTGGGAAGCCATCCTGGGAAGCATGACCAGCACCCCCCACATCCCAGTCCCAATCTATTAAAGCATGAGGTCTTCTTTAATTTACTTTCTCTTTATTTCTTTAAAAAAAACAAACTTCTTCTTATCTTCTTTTTCAGTGGCTGACTTCCTTCATTTCACCATTCATTCCTCATCCCCATTTCCTTTCCACCTCCCATTTCATTTCCCAGCTTCATGTTCCTGCCCCCCAAACCTCCAAACACACTTCCACCTAAGACCAGGGATAGAAGCCTGACCTGGCCCATCAGTTCACTAGTGGCAACTCACAGCTATAGCTCCTAGTCTGGCCCCTACTTGCTAACCCTCTAGTGGCAAGTCACAGCTGTGCAAATGGGGGACAGTTGGAGAAGGTTTTTAGCCTTAAAGTGCACCTGCTCCAAACTCAAGCTAGCACTAACACTGATCAACATTTGAGCAGCTCAAAAATGCAACGTGTAACAAGACCAGTGTGCGCAATGTGCAACTGAAATGCAAGGGAAACTTAAGTAGCTGTTTAAGCATAACATCTCCACTATCTTTATGCTTTTAATTATGGGAAGTCTTCATAAACTTCACCAATTAATAATAACTCTTTTATATTATTTGTAAGATTTAATTTTCCTCAGAAACTTTAAGAATTCAGGTTTTAAGAAAATATACAATTCTAGCTATATAGGCACTGAAACATTACAAAAGAAACAAATACAACTTTCTCCCTAACTAGAACAGTGCCAAAAAATATTCAGCTGAAAATTCTCTCCCTTCACTTTGTTTCCATACCTTACTCTGACTTTATCTTGCAAGAGGGAGTTACAGCATCAATCCCAACTGCCTTTTAAATAAAATCAAATACGCACTTATCTAATGATTAAATTATGATCTAGCTTTTCTGAGAGAGGTTTATACAAACCTATTATGTTACAGCTATGTTAAGGATTTAGAATTCATTTTCATAAGACTGAAGGATGACTTTACAGCCTGAATGAAGTATGTTTTCATTCCCCACGAATAACAGCACGCAGAATAAGTGCAACCATTTTAAGAGTGAATTCTCAACTTTCAGGGGAAGCCATGGAGCAAAATTTTGCAACTCCCCTTGATTAACTCTCTCACAATACCTCTTACTGGTGACTGTAAGCATGACAAAGACTTATAGTAACATTAATGCCTGCAACATCATACACATACAACAAGACAGGTTAACACTACATGTTTTTTGTAACAGATTTGGCATTATAAGAAATTTTACTAAAAACTCCTAGACAACTTCCATTTCATGTGTATTGCCAGAACAATTTTTTGTAGAAAGGAAAAAAAGGTCCAGTGATTTTCTAAGTATCATTTGGTAATAGAAAGGGAAGACAACAATGCAGAGCAGTGAAGAAATTGCACAAAATGTCATAGACATAGTGATAGCTAAACCTCAACAACACATACTATATTTACTCATATCCACCCCAAATACATGCATCCTCTTCTGGGAAAGAAGGAAGAAAAAGAGATTTTTTTTCCCAGAAACTTAACTGTGCTAAACATGGCTGAAAGTTGGCTCGTTAGGAGGTGCAGAGCCCACTCCTTGGTGTCACTCAGTCTGAAACTGCAGCTTCTGAACTACAGTTCTAGTGCTCAGTGGCCAGAACATGATTAAAACTGTGACACAGATGACCCTGTATCCATTTGGCCCCTTGCTCCTAGGCTGGGAGAGAAGCAATGCCCACAGCAGCTGTTGCAGGGAACCATTATTCTGGTGAAGAAAATCAATGTCTGCACTTAAGACAAGCACCTCCATTTTGGAGGGCTGATTTTTTGGGAAAAGGTACATGTGGTATGCAAGTAAAAAAAAGTACTACTTTTCATCCACAGATTGCAAAGTGCTTGAAGAGCAAAAAAGCATAATTTAACCTTCTTTTTACGGAGGGAAAACTTGGGCACAGAGACAGCTGAACTGACTCCCCCAAGATTACTAAGCAGGCCAATAACAGAGCAAGGCAAGGAACTCAGGTCCTTGTCCAGTGTTTCATCCACTAGGTCACAATGCCTCTTAATGCAAGAGCCAGGAAGCACAGTGAGAGCGTCATACATCATGAGAATGGCATGCATTTATTTTGTAAAGGATATAGAAATGTAGTCAGAAAAGAAAAGCAGTTAGAAAGGCAATAGAAGTTCGTTCATAATGTCTGTATTTGCATTCTTGAAAATGACCTAAACAAATGAACTTTATGCCTAAAGAAAAAGAACAAATTAGCAACAGAAGTAATTCAAAGGAGCAGTGGGAACACAGACTTTTCTTTGGAGGCTGTCACCTATATATCCTGTTAACCTAATCAGACAGCATTGTGAGTTACTCTTCTGCATTGATCCTTAATGTGTAAGAGAATCAGCATATCACAGGCATGCCAATTACCATTAAAAGAAACGCAAACTAATATATTTCATGTCAAAGAGCTTAGAATTAGCATTTTTAATTTTACACTGCAAAATTAAGTATAAGGATTCAATATTATGACCTAAACCTGACTTACCTATTGATTCGATCTGGAAATCAAATGTGAGCTCTGATGACAGTTTTCGGCTAGATTTTAATCTGCCTTGCAGATTTACTATTTTTATACAACCTGGAAAACAAACAGAATGCATCATTCAATACTTAAAACTAAAACAAGTGATCTAATTTGAATGTACATATTTGGTTCATAACCAAAACTTACAATCCAAACACACCAAAATGGTATCTCTCTCCAGCTGTGTTACATGTACCACACTTGTTTCTGTAGTGTCTGTAACAAAAACAACAAAGTTAATTTAGATATAACAAATTACTAGCAAGTCTACTGGGAAATTCTGGAGTGCAGAACAACTTCACTTACTGTATTTGAACTACAAAAAATGGTTTGCCTTACCAGTGAAATTTCTCTTCTCTTAGAAAGGCATTCCCCCTCTT